CATTGGGCTACCTCAAACTCTAAAGAAGAATGATTCAGTTTGGGTAATCGTGGATCGACTCACAAAATCGGCTCACTTTTTACCTATTCGAAGGGATTTTTCATTACAAAGACTGGCTGAACTTTACATTCAAGAAGTTGTACGACTTCATGGAATACCCCTCTCTATCATTTCCGACAGAGACCCAAGGTTCACATCCCAATTTTGGCAAGCATTTCAAAAGGCTTTGGGAACTAAGCTACACCTCAGTACGACGTTCCATCCTCAGACAGATGGACAATCAGAGCGAGTAATACAGATTCTTGAAGACATGATGAGGTCTTGTGTCATCGACTTTGGAGGAAACTGGGAAAAATATTTACCTCTAATGGAGTTTGCATACAATAACAGTTATCAATCGAGCATTCAAATGGCACCATAGGAAGCACTATATGGACGGAGGTGCAGAACTCCTGTATGCTGGACAGAATTAAGTGAGCGTAAATTGATTGGACCTGAAATAGTTCGAGACAATGAAGAGAAGGTAAAGACCATTCAAGACAAACTCAAAGCTGCATCCGATCGTCAAAAATCCTATGCTGATCTCAAACGCAAAGACATGGAGTACAAAGTCGGCAAAAAAGTTTTTCTCAAAGTATCACCCTGGAAACATGTCCTACGATTTGGGAAGAAAGGAAAATTAAGAACAAGATACATTGGTCCGTACGAAGTCATTGAACGTATTGGAGCAGTGGCCTATCGTCTCGCATTACCAAACGAGCTCAACAAGATACATGACGTTTTCCATGTATCAATGTTAAGAAGGTACCAAGCAGATCCCACACATATACTACAACCAGGAATGGTAACCTTAGATGAAAACATAACTTATGAAGAAGAACCAGTTCAAATCCTTGACCGAGAAACCCGACAACTGAGAAGCAAGAAAGTACCACTTGTCAAGGTTCTTTGGAGGAATCATACCACGGAAGAAGCAACTTGGGAGACGGAAGAATCAATGCGACAACAATACCCATATCAATGCGACAACAA